TTGGGCTCTGAGGGTTTTTTCCTGAGGAGCTGTTTTGTTTGGTGTGTGTGGTTCTAAAAATAAAGTTAGTTTCTTTTGACAAGTGGCTCCTGAATTGTGTCCAGCCAGACTGCGGCAGTAATCCATAAATATGTATACTTTTTATGTTTCTTGTATAAGTTTAAAAATAAATTCAAATAATAAAACCAAAAAGCTTAGATTGTACCAAAAATAAGTTTTTGTTTTCATGAAATGGAATTATAGACCTTTCAATTTGAGAAAACCCTCTAAAATACTAAAACTTGTAAACTGCTAGATTTTAAAGTATATCAAACCAATAAAGCCAAAATTTTAAATAGAATAGGCTTTCCTAAAAAAATGGAGTTAAAAGGAATAAGGTAAAAAAAATACTATTTGGGGAATGTTTAAATGTTTTTGTACTGCAAAATAATCTGCCAGATGTAGGTAGTTATATTAAAACATTTACACAAAATGTTACTAAAATGAGCAAACACAGAGGAAATGAAGTGAAAAAAATAAAGGAAATAAAAGCAGCCAAATATATGGGATCTTAAAAATTTAATATATTTTCTAAAAGGAATATAAAAAGCTTTTAGGATATAAATAGCTACACAATATAAGAGTACAAATTGTTTACCACATTCCTCCCCAAAAGCTCATATGGTTTATCATCTGGAACTAATCTCTTATCCCAAAGCTATTTGAATTTACATTTTCTTACTTTTTTGTGCCTCATCTTTTCCATACCAGGTTTATTTACATGTCAAAATTTTTTTCTTCATTTTTCTATGCCTCGGTTCTTAAAATAAAATTCACTCCTCCTGTCCAATCCTACATGCCCCAAACCCCAAAGTGTCACCATGCAGAAACATTCTGTATATCTGCTATTATTTTTATGTAAATTTTAAAAATTTATATATCACAGCATAATGCATTACAATTCTTATTACATATATAGAACACAATTTTTCATCTCTAGTTGTTTACACAGTATATTTACATCAATTCGTGTCTTCATACATGTGCTTTGGATAGTAATGATCATCACATTCCACCATCATTAATTACCCCATGCCCCCTCCCTTTCCCTCTCACCCCTCTGTCCTATCTAGAGTTGGTCTATTCCTCCCATGCTCACCCACCCTATCACACTATGAATCATTCTCTTTATATCAAAGAAAACATTCAGTATTTGATTTTTTGGAGTTGGCTAACTTCACTGAGCATTAAATTGCTTCTCTATCTAGATTGTCAATATTGAAAGCAGAAACTTTGTCAAAATAGTTTGTGTCCTTGAGTATGAATAATTTCCAATATATTGAAAGCACACCTTTCTTAGTAAAAACAACATTTGAATCATTGCAACAGTCAATAAAAGGGAAAAATATTTTCAACAAGAGGAATTAAATGTTTCAGTGTTGAAACAAAAGCTGAATTCATGCTATATTGTGGGAAGCCATTGAAGGTGATTGGGGACCTCCCTGACTGGGTGTGA